GTTCCTATTCCACCGGCAAGTCAAGGAAACATACATCATTGGGGTTCACTCACGCTTCCTTCCGTCTGGCCGAAGGACCCCTGGACAGCATTGATTACTCCACCTCAGTGGAGGATTGACTGCCAGCTTGCCCGACCTCTCTCTTTCCTCTCAGACCAGCCATTTAGATCTGCCAGATACCATCGCCTGAACCTAGAAAGAGACCCTCTATTATCTTTATCCACTCGAGCCCTTCCCACTCTACCTTTCTTTCCTTTACCTGAGCAGCCACTAAACCCTGAACCCTACATCCTCGGTCTTCGTCGCGGCTCACCGATATATCATTCCCATTCAAGGACCGCCTTCTTCCTTAAAAGCCTATAAATGACGCGGCATTCTATTCGGATGGTGGCGACTTTTGACCCCAGAACTTGGACGCAGGCCGGAGACACGACCCTAGGCTCAACTCCAAGGCTCCTTTGACTCAAGTTTCCTTGCAGGTTTTCTACATAATTGAATTGAATTAGTAAATTGCACTAAATTGTTGCTGTTTGTTTTGGAATTTGCAGGCGCTTGCAGGATCGCCGAGCATGATGCCACCGGGGCGATGGCTGGATCTCTACAGCGGTACTGGCTCTGTCGGGATCGAGGCATTGAGTCGGGGCTGTCAGTCGGTGAGTAATTTCATCACAAATGCAATCCGCTATTCATTCACCTTTTGTCTTTATTTTCTATGTTTTCTCCGACAAAAAAAAAGGGAAATGGCCTCGAGGTGTCATCATCGAACTGACCAGGCCCAGAAAGTCAGAAACATTTAATTCATGTGAGGATTCAAAATCAGGTCTGCTTATCAACAGTTCATGGGGGTACCATTCAGCCACATGAGCTGTGTGTCTTCACTGTTGTTTTTACTCTTTTTTTTTGTGTGTGTGCAGAGATCTTTTAAAGCTGTCCTTTGGGACATCTGTTAAAATTGGAACGATACAGTGAAGATTAGCATGGCCCCTGCGCAAGGATGACACACATGAATCGAGAAATGGTCCAAATATGGCAAAAAAAAAAAAAAAAAAAGATCTTATAAAGCTAGTAGTGCAATGAACCCAGGTCGTGAATACAATGTCGACACTGAAAGTCAAGACTATCGAACCAATGATAGATCTTCAACGACAGTAGTATCCAGTAAGCAGCAATGATCTGAATACAATTAGAGACTCAGCCTCTGGGTGCCACGTGGCACCGATCAGTACATTAATCAGCGCTGGAGCCTCGTCGACATGAAGACATCAGGTACGTATTCACAACACCTCACAAGTCCTGATCTCATCCCGAATAGTCACGACCCCTCCTTGAAGTAACGAAGCCGATGATCAGTACGACACGTGGCAGCGCCACGTCAACAGCAATATGTGGCGACTGCCACGTCAGCAGATCAGAGACAGTCGCTAGCCAGATAGCAAGCCAGCCAGCAGTAACTCATCATGTCAGCAAAGGCCGGCCTTCCCCCAGTCTCGCAGCGTCAAACCAAGGCTGCGAGAGTCAAGTGCTGAAAACAGCGTCAAAGTAAGACAGCCAGCCTCCCCCCAAAGTCAAGGAGTCAATGCTCTTATAGTATTGACTCGGGGTCTGATCCCCGGTGGTATCTAACCTCAGCCGTCCAGATCTCCCTGCCTGGAGGGTCTGGATAGATCTGCAACTGTATCCTCTTTGTCCTGGGTTGTAGTCTGGGTACCTGCACTCAACAAGTGAATGAATCTGATCCAAGACCTGGCATGGTACTTTGACTGACGGTTGACTTTGACCTTTGATTTTCCTAAGTCTTGGCGTTCGGTCCCACAGCCGTATGCAGTTTATTCAGGCCGGGGCATGTGTTGGTCACACAGCCCGGCGCAGTCTTCCACAGACTGCGTGGCCTGGGCCTAAGGTTTAGGCCCCAGGTCGATTGCTGAACAGGGTTATTACAGTAGAGGGAAACTGTCTGTATAAAGGATAAGGCGGGTCTCACATGACGGGCCCATACAAGACTTGCCGACCAGTGGAACTGGTAGGGGGAGGGGGAGTTTTGGGAGAGCCGTGCTTCAGGAACTTGGGTCATGGGGGGTCAGACGCCACGTGTCCCCTCTCTGCATCTGAAGCAGATGGGCTATGTCTTGGTTGAGATGGTATTTTCCACCGTCCTGTCCTGGATCTGAAGTTTCCATTCTGGAGGGACCGCCGACGGGTCGTTAGCTTTCACCTCCAGGACGGCTGTCATTGTTCCACAGTGTGGGGCTAGGAAATCCGGCATCGGTAAAATTCACTTGAGGATTTTATTAGCCGGATACTGTCTCTCCAGTCTGTCCACCAGCAGCCCGTGGTAACCAGGCTGAATTCCGTCAAATTGTACCTACAATTGCTCTTTCAGCAGAGTCTGTTTGTATGAAACTGAAAAGGAAGGATCGGGTCTTGCGTTTGTCTGCTTCTTCCACGGAGTGATCGTGCAAGTAGAACCATTGCAGTTCCTGGACTTCATCTCAGCTGCGATCCAAGCGTGATCTTCAGAGTTTAAAATCGCCATCACTGCCGTGCGACCCAGGTTCATCAATGAAAAGGATTCGTTTGCCGCTTTCGGCTTGTCTTCCTTTTTTATTGTTGCAGTGATCCATTTTCGTTTCACTGCCGGCATCAGATCCGCACCATTCCTGGCGAATTTGAAATACCACTGCATGGTTTTCATGCAGATCGTCCAATTCCGGCACTTTGCCATCTGGGTACTTCCAGATTACTGTTGCTTCCTCCTTTCCTTGAGTATGTTTGTGTTTCTCGATTACCATTTCCCCTTGCACTTCAGTTTTTTGAATTTTTTTCGACGAGAAATTTCAGTGCATCAGTGTCGATGATTTCGCAGAAGCTTTGTTTGTCTGATTCATGCGGCCAGTGGTAGTAGGACCCCAGAGCGTTTGCTTAAAGGATGCTGGGACCTTACTGGTTCCTGGGAGTCCATAAAATTGCATTTATTTTTCTGATTTTTTGAACTTTTTTGAAGTTTTTTCCCTTTTCTTGTTTTTGTGAAAGATTCCCCTGAATTTATTTTTTGTTTGACAGTTTCTGTTTCTCTTTCATTAATTTTCTGCCGTCAATTGTGAGGCAGCCATGCAAATGTTCTCTTCTCTGTCTGATTCCAAGCGTAACCAATAAATTTCTGGAAATTTGTAATTACTAATGCATTAAATGCAAGGAAAATTACTAATTAGTGGATGAAGCACTCAGCACATAAAAGGGGAAAATTTCAAAAAAAAGCTTAAACGATGTCTTATAGTACTATTCTTTATCAATCCAAGTCTATTGTTTTCGTTTTTCCCCTTTTTTTGAATTTTTTTCTGCATTCGTTTGTTTTCGTTTTTTTTTTTTACATCTTTTTTTCCCTCTTTAGTATTTACTAGTTTTAGGCTATTTTTTAGTATTTTGCCCTTTTCCTTCCCCCGTTTTCCAAGTCAATAGAATGTCTGATTGCAATCCCCCCTCCTCTCCTTCTCACCCACTCCCCCACTTCCCCCCCGTGCACACTCCCCCCTCCCCCATTTCATTGGATGTTGCAGAGCCATTTTGTGGAGCTGGACCCATGGGTCATCAACAATGTGCTATCAAGGAATCTTGACGTGACAAATTTTACAGACAAGGCAGTGATTCATATGCAGAGGGTAGAGGCATTCCTGGAAAGAACTGAGAAATCAGGAGGTACGTAAGTACTAAGTTGTCTTTGAAGTTTAAACCCCCTCCCCCTCCCTTCTCCCCATCCCAAAAGATTTGAAATGAATCGAAAATGAAAAAGAGCTTGGATTTGGGCTTTTCTGGGTGGGTGCAAAAATGCCCCTGCGGCGGTCGAAAAAGAAAAAAAGACGAACTTCCTCGTCTTTCGAGCTGCTGGGCGTGTGGGTGCCTATATGGGCGACTTAGGTATGTATCCGTAGAATTATAAATTTATATTTATAGTCAGTCAGAACTACCGGGTGAAATGTAGGCGAAAAGGAAGAAAAGAAAAGAACGGCAAGCATGAACTGACCAGACTGAAGGCACAATTGACAGGGCTCTGATCACACCAATGCAAGAACGCACAGAACAGTGAAGTCTCTCTTGACTTTAAAAAAAAGCCCACTTCTCGCCTCCACTCAATAATACAGCAACAGAGTAGTAGCTCTCAACTCAGCTATGTCCGCCTACACTACTCCGTACTCTAGCCTATCATCTTCTACTCTAAAGACTCTCTCTCTCTCTCTCTCTCTCTCTCTCTCTCTCTCTCTCTCTCTCTCTCTCTCTCTCTCTCTCTCTCTCTCTCTCT